AACTTGCCGTGCTTCCCGGACCCGAGATACGTTGCTTCTGCCGTTGGTGCTTAGGGAGGCGCGGGGCGGGGTTTCGGAGCCTGCGGCCGCGGGGTCTGGGCGCGCGCGGGGCTCTTGCTGTGCGCCTCCCCGGCCACGCCGCCGCTCTGTCCCCACTGGCGAATTCGCGGAGGAGGCCTGCGCCGTCCTGACGTCCCCCAAGTTCGAGGCCTGCCACAGCGCCGTGGGCCCGCTGCCCTACCTGCAGAACTGCCGCTACGACGTGTGCTCGTGCTCTGACGGAGGAGACTGCCTGTGCGACGCGGTGGCCAGCTACGCGGCGGCCTGCGCCCGGAGAGGCGTGCACATCGCGTGGCGGGAGCCCGGCTTCTGTGGTGGGTGCCCTCCCTGCCCGCCGCCCCCGCACGAGACCCAGCCGGATCGCTCGGACCCCCAGGGGCCTCCACGCTGGTCCTCAGAGCGCTGCCTCTGTATGACTGCATTCGGAGACGCCCAGGGCATCCGACAAAGGCCTTGTGGGAACCGGTCTTTTGTGGCCACGTTCCCCTCCCATCTCCCTGCAGGACAGGCAGTGGCGACAGGCTTGTTCCCGGAGGGCAAGTTGATCCCCGACCTAGAGGCCTAAATCCATGGTGTCTCCGCCTGGCAGAGATTTCCTGTCACTGCTCCCACCTAGTGTGGGATGCTTGTAGACCAGGTTGAGGAGTGAGTGGGTCCCAGACGCCAGTGGGTCCCTGCATCCCTGGAGGGTCTGATGAAGTGATGGGGGATGCATGTACCAACCCTCTGCTTATAACTTCAGGTGAACCGTCCACACAGTCCCGGCCCACATCTCTGGCGCTGTGTAAAGTCATGTAAAGTACAATCACGTCATTGCAGCCTGTGCTGGAGTCTCAGTCTGAGCTGTTAGACACCTGGCACCAGAATTGCCATCTGCCCCACACTCTGGCCCCCTGGTTGGCTGCTGTTGTTGTTCTGGGGACATTTGCTGAGTGCCTGGCATGGCCAGGCAGTAGCAGTGCGTAGAGCCTGAACTTTTGAGGCACAGACGGAAACTGCTTCCCTATCACACTGAATAAAAGAATAATTAATTAGGGCAGGGGCAACCAAGGAGGGCTTTCTGGAGGTGGTGCACTTGACCTGGCTTTTAGAAGGCATTTTCTTGGCAGAAAACAAGTTGTTTCCAATGGTGGAATGATAGTGGGCTGGCTCCGCAGCAGCAGGGACAGAGAGTTTGGGTTAGTTTCCTGACTCCTGAGGCTTCAGGATATAATGGGAAGTGTGCGTGGCAGGAAGGAGCTGTCCCTGGAGACGTTTAGGGGCAAGGGGGATCTGTCTTTATGAGGTGAACCAGAGAAAACCAGCCCAGTGGCCAACTCTGAGGTCCAAGGAAGTGGGGCAGGATTCCTGGGTTCCTGCCTCCATCCTGTGCCTCATTTCCCCTTCCTGAGAAACGAACAGCTCTCTCTCCACCACTGACTCCAGCCCTGAGAAGGGGCCACTCGCCCTGGGGACATTCATGGAGCAAGGACTCGTTGGTAGCTGCTTTGTGGGGTGTCATGAGAAGATTCCAGGGAATCACCCACATTTTCCCTTTGTAAATTGGTTATGTTTCCTTTGGGAAGACAAGACCCTGGTCTCCTTGAAGGCAGAGGCCAAGTCCTACTATCTCTGCGTCCCCGAGCCTAGCACAGCCTCTGGCAAGCGACGGGCACCCAGTCAACATCTGTTAAACTGAGATGCGCATCACTTCTGGGGAAGAAGGAGAAATTTAATACGGCTCCGGGCCAGCTGTGGAGATAGTCCCATCAGAGGAAGAAAGCTCCCAGCTCCAGCTCCTCCTGGATGCGTGGCATGTGCCATAGTCGTAGGTGCAATAGACTGAATGGGATTCCCATCCTTATGGCCCAGTGTGCCTCGTCTTGACCCGCCCACAACCTAAAATACTCATCCTACGACCCCGCCTCTCTGCTGGTTCAGAGCAAAGTCTGTGTCTAATAGAGTCGGAACTCTTCCCCTCCCAGCTTCCCTCAAACAGCACGCCTGGAGCAGTGGTAGGAGGGCAGACTGCAGGGCTCGGCTGTTTCTCAGGTTCACGGTCAGCCTGTCCCTTTACAGCTTCCGTGGAATATAGCCAGTGGGTTTCTGCTGTAGAAGTGGCTCTGAACAGAGAGGGCAGGGTTCTAATGGCCCTGGGAGGCGTGTCCCCAGAGTGAGGTGTTCATTTCTCGGACAGCAGCGGATCAGCAACGGGAAAGCGTTTAGAAAGAGCCAAGGGCTCCCCACATCTCCCAGTAAAGGTTCTGTCATCAGGGTGCTCACGAGGGGACTGTCAGCATAGGAATCGGCTGTGTGCCTCCAGGATCCACCAGCGCTGGGTCCTCTGCCTGGAGCCTGCGGAGCTGGGGCTGCGTCTCCCCAGTGATCACAGTGTCAGTAACGGCTATGGACCTTTCTCACGGGCGGGGCATGGTTAAACCTGTCCGCTCACTTCACTGCCACCGCCACCCAGGGGGACATCATCACCATGTTCCAGGGAGGACATCGCTCAGGGTCACATGGCTACAGCACGGCAGGACTGGGGCTCCAGCCCAGGAGCGTGGGATCTGGCGCTCCCCCTCCTGCTGCCTTGCCCCTCTGCCCAGCTTCCTCTCGGCTTCTCTGTGTTGTCCTTTCTGGATGTGGAGGCCAGGGAGGGGGAGATCTGTGGGTAATGGGTGCTGTTGGCTCCGCTGGGGCAGCTGTAAGAGTGTCCCTGCCCTTCGTGACTGGTGCGTCCTAAGAGACTGGTTCCTAGGGGACTGTTTCCCTTTCTAGAGCGTAATGGTTAAGAGCATGAGCTTTTGGGTCACAGAGAGCTCGGCTGGAATCCTGCCTCTGCCTCTCCCTGGGACGCGTGACCCTGACGAGTCACTTAGCCCAAGTGTCAGTTTTCTCACCTGCAGAGACGGGCTTGCGAGATCGAACTCACTGAGAGGAGCGTAAGAGGCATAAAACCCACACGAAGAGCAGGGTATTCAGTAGGTGCTTAATTAGTGGTAGCTGTTCTTGTTATTATCATCACAGGAGAAATGGCCTTGCCCATACCTGCTGGTTCTTTTTACTATTCACAGCTTTGAAGTCCACCAGGATTTCAGTTATGTCCCAGGCTTTGTACATCCGTCATTATAACAGACAGTTGTGAACGTAAAAATACACTTTTGCTCCTGATGCGAAGGGAAGGCAGTGACCGTACGGACATAATTGGGGCCCCAGCAGCAAGGGGTGCCACCCCCAGTCCTAGAACCGCAGTCCCGGTCATCTTAATGTTTCCTCTGAGGCCGTGCTTCCCTGCCCTCTCCCCCAGCCCTGAGCTGCCCGCGGGGCCAGGTGTACCTGCAGTGCGGGGCCCCCTGCAACGCGACCTGCCGCTCCCTCTCTCACCCGGATGACGAGTGCCACGAGGTCTGCCTTGAGGGCTGCTTCTGCCCCTCCGGGCTCTACCTGGATGAGGCGGGGGACTGCGTGCCCAGGGCCCAGTGCCCCTGTTACTACGACGGTGAAATCTTCCAGCCCGAAGACGTCTTCTCAGACCATCACACCGTGTGGTAGGTCGCGTGGCGGGACCAGGGGCCTCTGGAACAGCAGGGCTGGGAAACGGGCCTCCGAGTCCTTCACTTCGTGGATGGGTAACCGGAGGCCCAAGACAGGATACGACCGTCAAGACCAAAGCTAGGATTGCACACAGGTCTCCTGACCGCCTTACCGTGCAGGGACGCAGACCCCAGGCGGGCAGGAGGAGTCACTGGTGAACAGTAAGCAGCTGCCACGCGTGGGGCCCCACCTCCTGGCCCTAGGTCTCAGTTTCCCTTTTCTAGAACAGGAAATGGTATGCCTCCCCGCCTCCCTTCCCTTCCGCCTCCTGCCAAAGTTCTCAGGCCGAAACCTTGAGTCAGAAGGAAACGCACCACAGCGGCGTGGTCTCAGAGGTGCCTCGCTGTCCCGACTTGTTTGCTGCACTTCCCCAAAACACAGCTCCAGGCCGTGCACGCTGCCGGCCGGCCCTCGGTCAGGGGCAGCTCCAGCACCTGTCACGGTCACAGAAGGAGTCTGTAACAGACACGTTTTGGGCGGACACTTCCTTGGCTCCTGTTCTGTCCTGAGTGCCGGGCTGGAGACTGTGTCTAAAAGACGAACCAGAGTCAGAGTAGGCCCTCGGGAAGCTGACAGTCTCCTAGGGGAAGCAGTTTAAATGTCCCGTTTGTGGAAAATTTCAGCCCCAAGTGGAGAGACGGGCGTGAGGAAGCCCAGCGCCTGCAGCCCCGCTTCCGTGGCGATGGCCGCCTCACCATTGTTGTTGGATCCATGCTCTCCTCCCCTTTTGGGCTGGAATAGTTTAAAGAAATCCTTAGATATTATATCATTTTATGTGAGAACACTTCAGTATGTATTTCTAACAGACAAGCACTTAAAAAAATCAACCTAACTATAAAACTCTTCCTAACCTAACCATTAACCATCATTCCTTAATAACATCTCATATTCAATCCATGTCCACATGTTCCTGATTGTCCCAAGTTATCTTTCTGTAGTTGGTTTGTTCAAGGATCCACACGAGGTCTGCACAGTGCATTTGGTGTGAAGCTTTTTCTCATCCCTGCAGTGAGATTAGCTTGCAGTCCCTCCCAATCTCATGTACCCAGAGTGGGTCATTTACACTTGTGTTTAAACAGTTATGGTCCCTGGGACAGGATTTCAGCAATATGTGTTGAATCTCCCCTCTAGATGGTGACTTCCCCAAAAGTCGAGACCACGTCTTAGGCCCCGACCCCCATTACCTAACAGTCCTGACAAAAGCTAGGTTTAATGAAAGTTTCCTGAGGTGAAATAACCGTGATATTTGGTAGACTTGCCACATCAGAGGCCCCAAATCTCTGCTTGTTCAGAAAAAGGAAGGACTCTTCCATCTGGGAGGAACCGGGGAAGACTCAGTGATGCAGGAGTTCGCTTCTGAGTGCGAGGATTCTAGCCGAGGTCGGGTGCAGTGATGGGAGGAGGGGTTTTGGATGGAGCAGACGTCCAGGGACTAAATGCACGAGGAATACTCACCAATCACGGAGGTTAAGTTCTCCGGGGGAGCACATATGGATGTGGGAGAGATGAGACTCGGGGGAAGCTGGGACCAGTGTCAGGGGTCTTTGAAAGGCGGGTGAGCACTGATGCTTGAACAGTAGGCATAGGACCTTAGGAGTTTGGGTAGTGAGCAAATAGGACCAAAGTGGAGCTTTAGAGAGTGGGTTCTGGGAGCTGCGTGAGGTATGAGATCAGCTGCGGGAAGACGCTGACACAGCCTGGGTGGAGGGTGAGGCCCTGGAGCGAGTCATAGCAGTGGACCTAGGGGCCAGTTTGCAGAATGGAGCTGGAGACACTGGGAAAGGAAACAGACTGGACCCAAGGTGTGGGAGGAGGGGGTGTGTTGACAGTGACCCCAGGGTTCTGAACTTGAATGCTCAGAGTGTGGGCAGGGATGCCAGGAGCAGCAAGGGGGAAGACAGGGAATTTGGTTCTGGCCTTGACGACTCTGAGTCACCATGAGGGCATCTTGGAGTGTAAGTGGAACCAGTCGCTGGAGTTTTGTGTTTGGAGCTTGAGTGAGAGATTGGGGCTGGAGGCACTTCCAGCTGTGAGAGTAGCGAGGCTTCTAGGAGGAGCAGCCAAGAGGACTGAGTCCAGAATCGGAGAGAATGTTCGGGGGACCAGGGGAGGAGGAGGAGGAGGAGCCTGTGAGAGAGGTCAAGGGCAAAGGGCAGGGCCGGGACAGGCCCGTATCAGGGGAGTGAAGGGGACAGGCCTGTAACGACGCCTTCTGTGGGTTTGGGCGTTTGGCCTTGGCCCGGTGGCCGTCTCACTGCAGCTGGGGGGGCTACAGTATTCACGGTGTTTCTCCCTGGGACTTTCAAGCAACAATTATACAGGCAGGGCTTGCTCTTTTAGTAAAGAATTTGAGGCTTAGCGAGATAATCACTTTCCCAAATCCTCCTGCAAGGGGCTGGGACCCAGGGACTCCTGAGTTCCTCATATTCCACAGAATATGTTGAATTTGGGGATCAGGAGGTCATGGTGGCCCCCATGCTTCATAGTGTGATGGGGAAAGAAGCCATGGGGAGGTGCTGGGGTGACTTGGAGGGAGGGCAGCAAGCGTGGCTGGTTATTTTACTATTAGAGGCACAATGAAGGTGGGGGGTGTGCAGCACCTCCTGGATGTACAGGGCGGGGGCGGGGGTGGCCCTGGATCCAGGCTCTTCTCAGGGTCTGGACATCAGCGGCCTCTCTGTGACCGTCTCCTCTGCCCGGCCCCACCTTCGGGCACTGGGGCTGAAACCTACAGCCCATCCTGTCTCCCCATGTCATCCAGAAGCTTGGATTTCACGGAGAGCATGAGCTAGCGGGAACTCAGGGCTTGTGTGTGGCTGTTTGTGTCCTCTGACAGTGCCCCGAAGAGCAAGCCTGCTGGGGCAAGCGCAGTGACGCCGGGGAAGGGGGTGGGACGTGCAAGCCCACGTGGCCTGCAGGCTTCTCCAGACTATTCTTTGCTCATCCAGGCAGCCGTCACGGTGGAGATGGACAGTGGGTATGGATTCTAGAAACACTCAGGACACGAAGCCCAGGGCTTAGGGATGGGTCAGGTGTGGGGGGAGGGGAGAAGGCTGTGTCCCGGCGATCCCTGGTTTCTGGTTTGTGAGACTAGGTGGATGGTGGTTTCATTTGATGAATCTGGGCCCTGGAGGAAAACTGGCTTCAGAGCAGGGGTCGTGAGTCGAGGTGGGGACAGACTGAGCTTGAAGTGTCTTTGAGAACCACAGGAGGCCATCATGCAGGCATTTGAACATGTGGATCAAGGGCGAGGTGGGACCTGCTGATGCCAGCGTGGAGGCGGGAAGGGGAGGGGTACGCGGCCGGGGGGTGGGGGTGGGGAGTGGCCGAGGGTGGAGCCAGCAGAGGGGCGGGGCCTGGGGTGGAGTGAACCACCCGCACTGGGGGGAGTCACGTGGTCGCTGGTGCCCCCAGCAAGCTGTGCTTCAGGCGGGTTATAGGATGGGCCGGGAGCCTGGCTGGAGGGGCAGAGGGTGGGTGGGAGGCGGGGAATCCGTCTCAGCTGTCACCGTCCTCTCTGCAGCTACTGTGAGAATGGCTTCATGCACTGTTCCACCAGCGGAGCCCCGGGGAGCCTGCTGCCCGACACCGTCCTCGGCGGTCCCCTGTCCCACCGCAGTGAGTACTGCGCTCCAGGAGCTCTTTCGCCCCCCTCTGCCCAGATTTCTCACGCGGGGTGGGGGAGGCAGCTGGCTGCATTTAGGCACGTGTTTGCGAGCGTGACTTCCAGGCCTGGGCGTGCCTTGGTCTGTGCGCATCCCAGTTATCCAGCCAGAGGGGTCTTACTTTTCCCAGTTATCCAGCCAGAGGGGTCTTACTTTGTGATGGGGACAGGCTGAGTTACCTGCACGGTGACCCAGTCAGTGAGAGCTCCCTTCTGCCCACGGGACCTTACCCAGGGAGCAGCTGTGAGCACCTCGGTCGCCTTGATTGTGGTGAACACCACCCGCCTTCAGTGGCCTCTTTTCACCTGGGACGCGCTGACCGGGGCAGCTCCTTAGAAAGCCCCTCAGATGGATCTGGGTGGGGGGGGGCTTGGGCCCGTTGCCCTCAGTGGTGGTTGCTGTGCTGGTTTACAGACACGGCACGGGAGGGGGTGGGGCAGACCTGGCACTGGTGAGACCATACTCAACGTTCCTGGGTCAGCGGCCTAATTGGATCCAGAAGGATCCCTCATCCTTGCTTAGAGAGGACCCTCCAGTGGGAGGGAGAGGTGCCTTGAGGCAGATAAATGGGCTATTTGCAGCCTCCAGCTTGACTTCTCTCACTTTCCTCTAGACCCCCTCTCTCCCATGACCCAGCCCACATTTGTCTCCCGGCCTCCCCTGCTGAGGAGTCCGGCCCCACCCTCTGCATGACTGACTGAGGAGCATCTCTCAGCCTGGGGTGGCTCATGAGCTGCAGTCAGAAATTGTGCCCTTGTCTTAGTCCCTTTGGGCAGCTGTGACAAAACAGTGCCGACCAGGGGTCTTCCAGACACCAGGCCTTTGTTTCTCACCGTCCTGGAGGCTAGAGCTCTGAGAGCAGGGTGCCCGCACGGGCAGGTGAGGGCCCTTTTCTAGATTCTCGCCGAGTCCTGGCATGGTGGGAGGGGCTGGGGAGCTTTGTGGGGTCCCTTCAGAGGGTTCTAATCCCATTCATGAGGGCTCCACCCTCACCACCCAGTCACCTCCCAAAGCCTCACTTCTAATAGCATGGCGTTTGGGGGTTAGGATTGCAGCATGTGAATTTTAGGGGAACACAAGCTTTAAGTTCATAGCCGAACTCCAGGTCGCTGCGTCTCTCTGCCTCTTTCTCCTCCCTGTTCCTGTGGTAGCGCCCCCCCCCC